ACCTAGCAAAATTGTCTCCTTCTCCTAGCTCATGGACAGCTCCTATTCACACTCTCCGCCTCTGCATGTTTCGGAAGGGAATGATTCAGATTTCTCATGCCACAGCACTAGAAGACAGACGGGTCAGTCACATCCCACTATGTAGTCAAGCTCTGTTTGAGTCTGCGCGTCAGGGACGGAAGTGCTAAAAAATCGTAAAAAACGGGCTTCAATCATCTCAATGGAGTTCCAATAAGATGGCTCTGTCCATTTCTTTTACTGTCTATGAAAACAACTGATCAGGGGTGCGTTTCCCGAAAGCATCGTTAGCTAACTATGGTCGCAAGTTCCGTCGTTATCTGCATAGTGTAACGAGTCTTTTTCCCGAAACAATCGTTCCAACAAACATTCGCAAACAGCATCGCAAAGTTGTGTGGTTTGAACGACAGCTCTCGACCTGTGGTTAGAAGCATCGTTTCTATATTGCATGACATTTGGAGGTAATAAATCCTAATCTTGAGCAAAATAAGCAAGCTGACATTCAGTACAACCGGTGCCATTTATTCAGTATACATACAAATGTAATTTACGTCTTTTAGTTTTTCAAAAGATTTGAAGTAACGTGTTTGAAGAGTGTGCATGTGCGAACGTGCTCTACTTTGTAAGAACGAGCCAAATATTGAGTCTGGTAATAAAGCAAAACAACTGAGAACAATTAGAAATAGTCCTCAGATGGCATGTCTGTAATTTATATAAAACAAATCTAGTGTTAATTGGATCTCAAACAGTTTCATTAAAAGTAGTTATTACTCCACCACGTGCGAAACCAACGTGGTTGAACGATACTTTGCGACAGTGGGTTTCGGGAAACGGTCGTGACTAGCTAGTTGATTTTTCCAACGTTGCATTGAACAGAGCTCTGTTTGGAAATAATGAATCATTCTAAAATGACTGGTAATTAACTAGTCTTTAATAATATGGAAACTTATTGTAAAGTGTTTCCGATTTATGTAAATGACATCTAGAATGACATCTGGTGAAATTGTTTTTATATCACAGAAAATGTATATTTACCAATATTGTGCACCCTAATTCTCACTATGTGTTTTCTATACATAGATATCGACATCTGTAAATATCGGTATCGGCCATAACAGCAATATTAATATCGGTTATCGGTATCGCCCACAAATTTTCACATCGGTTCATCACTAAGTAAAAGTAATAGGCTAATGTTAATTATTGCTTGAATAAGCGTAACAAAGTATCCAGTTTGTAGCAATTTGCTAGTTACTTTGGATCTTGAATTTCAGATTACATGTAAATCATGTAAAACCTGGATTCACATGAAGCAGAATATCCCAATCCTCTCAAGGCTGATGGGTACAGTAACACAGAAGCCGTAATTTTCCATGCAAAGTCACAAACCTCATAAAATTTTTCCCCAACAGTTGACTGTCTTTATTCTTACAAAATGTTCTCAGTTCAAACTTCTCCATTTAAACAGGGCAACAAAAGAACAGACTATGGAACAGAAGAGAAAGTATGTGTAGAGAGAGAGAGAGAGAGAGGGAGAGTAGCATGTTTGTTAGTATGTGTGTGTATTTGCTTGTTTTACTGAATTTTACTGTTGAATTTCAACCATAGTTGGCTTGCAAGGTATATACACTTCAGTCTTGATCTTTTAGCTGTGAGCAGGAGTCCTGCATGACTAAAAAGATCAGGCCCGCATGTGTGTCACCATCATCTTGTGGCCCAACTGGGGTCTTTACGCCTGATCCAAAAGCCAATGACTGCAGCGTTCTGCAGTAGTTGCTGTTTCTTTGATGGTCTGATGCAGGCAGGGCTTGGCTGTGGATTTCCCAGCACTTTCCATAGCCTGATGGTCGATGTTGCCACAAAGCCCCTGTAGCGAATCTCTACCAGACGGACCAATGCTCTCCATCCTTTTTGCTGATCATCGCGCACCTCTTCCTCTCATTTACTTCCTCAGTAGCATCCTTCCAGGGTACTGTCAATTCAATGAAATACACAGTGTGCAGGGTGCTGAACCACAATACAAGGGCTGGTCTTTACTGACAATTTACTGAGTTTGCGCACTTCAGCCAAAATATTCCAATCTCGTGCTCCTCCGAAATGTACAGACCAGGCTTTCCCTGTACCTTCTGCTCTTCCTGAATAACCTGAATAAATGGCACTGTCTGGATTGTGCTTGGTGTTCTGAAAGGTAAAAAAAAAAAAGTACTTTGAATTGACACACATAGAAGTTTTACCAGCTCTCTGCTCGTGTTATTTAGGAAGTTCTGCATTTTTGTAAGCAGTATATCTGCAGCAATCAGCTCAGGTTCCTCCATGACCTTTCCAAAACATTTCGTAATTCCTACTTTTAGGGCCTTAAGGAGGGGTTGACTGACTTGACAGGTTGACTCCAGCCTCTTCAGCTTGTCCAGCAGTTAGTAAAGAGCTGGCAACAGGACAGATGATTCCCCTTTGAGTATTTGAGGGCCTTTGCAACAGGCTTCATTACAGCAGTGTACTCAGCCAAAAAGCCCATTTCAGCTCGATTCACCCAGCACAAAAATCCACAAATAGCTAATAATAATAATAATGTAGTTTAGCTGAGCGCACACACACACACACAGACACTATACATGTTAGAATATCTTTAGAATGCTAACATGTCTTGCAACTTACGTTTTTTTTTTTATCTTTAATGTTATGCATACACTTCAAATTGCTCGTTCTCATTGTGAGTTCCAGTGGGTCTGATCCGAAATTTGCACTCGGGGTTCAAATGGCAAGGCTGACTGTCATGATTGTGGTCTTATATTTTGATATTCTGTTCTGCTTCCTTAGTTCCTGTTGTCCTGCTCTGTTTAGTTCCCGGTTTCCTTGGTTACTAATTATCTCCTTGTTTGTTTTTATGGTTATGAATAATTATCTCCTAGTAGTCATTATGCTTTCGTTCGGGAACTTCTACTTCTCAGTGGAGGAGTTTCCAACGAATTGGGATCACGCTAGGGAGACCAATTGCCTTTGAGTGAAGTAAAACGAGCCAATGAGCATTGGCAAGCAGGACTTTCATTCGGCGCTCCACCTGCCAGTGCAGGTATATAAAGCAGAAGCAAGCACACACACATATGATTTTGCTTCGGAGCCGACCGGTTGTGTCCTCTGAGTGGATCAGCTTCAAGATTGGTATATTATTCTCAGGGAACGAGGGGTACCATACGTAACCAAGACGTTTTCGACCCATTTCTCAATCGCTTTGGCACATTTTTCGAAAGTCTTAACATTCTCTAAACTGTAAGTGCAATTGTCACAATGTATCCTGGAACATCAGAACTCTATAGCATGTCTGCAAAATGTCGTAACTCACCCAAAACATTTAATTCATGCTTCAAAACTAGAGCCAGACCGATATGTCGGCCGGCCGATATTATCGGCCGATATTAGGCATTTTCCAAAATAACGGTATCGGCAGTTATAATGGCCGATAAATGAATATTTAAAAAATAAAATAAAAACGGACGAAACATGCTTCAATCATCTCTCCTTGGCTTGTTATATTGAAAATGTATGTTTTACAATTTGCAGTATGATGTTGTCTATTGCTAAATTATGGCTCATCATAGACAACCACAAAGCAAGCTAATGCCACTATCATCAGTGGAAGATCACTATCGTTAACATTAATGAGCTTGGAAACCACAATGAACTTTTTCTGCCTAAATAAAGTAATAATTACTGTATTTATAACTAGCATATCTCTAGTTACAGTCCCTGCATTGTAAAATGTAAGTTATACTTGCGAGGAGTGAACATTTAGACATAGAGAAAAAGTATCAAGCGTATCTTGTGCAGAAAAGTTAGCTTTTCTTTTACACGTGTGTGAAATCCAACAAGATTTAACAAAAAAAAAAAATATATATATATCGGCCGATATATCGGATTTTAAAACCCCTAATCGGTATCGGCCTTCAAAATCCTTTATCGGTCGGGCTCTATTCAAAACTAAGTTATTGTGTCAGTAAATTGGCACTAAAATAAAAGGTGTTTTTGTCATCGTGTTAGTCACACTGATCAAAATGTTTAGATGTTTTCACCATGGAAATATTTGTTACAAATTTCAAATATTTTTTTTCCTACTTTTTTGTTGATAGTAAATGTTTTTTATACTATAAGAAGTTCAGTTTTGTTTGTGAATCACACTGAGCATTTTAAATACAGATTCAGACAGTTCATTAAAAGTTAATACTGTAGTACACAAAAAGAAAATTAAAATTTGTACTTATACAGTATTTTATTTATTTATTTATTGCATGATAATCATACATGATAATCTTAATCGTATTGAGTCATGAGGCGATTCACACCCCTACTATAATAGGCATCGCCATGACACTTACCGCCATGGGTTTTCTTAAGTTGGAGCTGTAATTCTTGTATGCAGAGATAACTTTGGTGCACATAGCAGGCATTGCATTATATAGGCTTGCTGCTTGGCTTGAAAAGATCAATTGATTAAATGTGAGGCCATGGGTGCCTCCATCGATACAAATTCTTCTTTCCCCTCCTTGGCCATATCCTTCATAATTGAGCCTGCTCAAAAGTGACCAGTTGCTTCTCATGCATTCAGAACATGCAGCACAGCCAGTACATAATATACACTATTAAAACTATACATTCATTATTATTTAACATTAATTGGAGGAAAATCAATGAATGTAGCAAAGTAAAAATACATTTCTGTAATAAAAAAAAGAACTAAGTTTCAGTATGGCCAGTAAAACCCACTCTTACAAGTACAGTTTCTCAAGTAAATGTTACACAGTATATGTAGTGCTTTACCCTCTGTTTGTTAGAGGATTCTGATTATGTGGGGTTGTTTAGATGGACCGATTATGACCTCATGACCACGTGCATGATAATTTCCAAACTCAAGTCATCCGATGTAGAAGGTTTCCTGTGTGTGTGTGTGTTTCTGCACAGGGTTTGGTATTTACTCTAATATGTCTCAGTACACAGGCCCTGTCCCGGCAGACCGCGAGTCTCCGATGACGCGGAGCGAGACGTCCCCCAGCCGTGCCCAGCATCCTTCCCCCACACAGAAACCCAACACCTGCTGCTTCTGCTGGTGCTGCTGCTGTAGCTGCTCATGGTACGACCCGCTCTCCACATGGTACATTCCACTCATCAGCGCTGCTAATCTTACATTCCACGTCCATTCCTTCACAGAGATTATATTCACCTTCATATGGAGTGCTGCAGTCAGGATGTAATTTTGTTGGCCAACTGGAAGTTAGCGTCATCCTGCTTCCCTCAACAAAAACACAATAGGTTTTTTTTCATTGGCTTTTGGATTATTGCAGAAAACAAGCTCTCTGACCAACAAAAGTTTTGAATTTTTACACATTTTGTTCATCGTCTTCATTAATGAACACAACTTCTATGATTTTTTTTTTAATCAGCAGAAGGAAAAAAGCTAAACGTTGGCTATAAACAAACTACACCTTAACCACATTACTTCGGTGTTACCAACATCAAGCTTAATTGTATAATAAAAACATAGTCTTTTTTTTACGATACAATCAAATCCCTGTGCAAAATCAATCCTGTGTTATTTTTTGCTAAATATCCAGTTATACTTGGAAATAATGCCACATTAAGTTGAATTTGTTATGAAGCTCCACCTCCTTCTGTCATGTCAAGAAGATCGCTCATCACCACATTCGTTTATTGTTATATGTTTGTGAATGAGATGTGTTATGTATTTCAGCGTGTTTGTGAGTGCAGGTGAATACATGCTGATCATATACACATTGTGTGCGTTCACATTAAATTCAAGTGTAATGTCAGTCAGGAGAATGTGGTTAAGAACACTCATTCGTTACATCAGATGCCCTGAAGGAAATGGAAGCCACATTCACTCCCACACATCTCTCACACACTTATTCACTCGCACTCATTCTTCAAGCACACCGGTTTCAGCCGTTAGTAGAGATAGTTTAGGTCCAAACTCTGGTGTCCTCTTAATGACAGAGCTTCATTAGAGCTGCTTCTGTAGATACTTCAGAAACCGGTTTGTTTTAATGATTCAAAAAGCCTTGCAGCACAATCAGAGTCATTTAACCGATTGCCAAATGAATGACTCTTATGCACTGGTTCTTTTTTACCGTTTCTTTATAGCGGCCAGTGTAGTCCAACGATTTCTGAACAACTGACTTTTGTGTTCCAGTCCAGTTCTAGTTGATTCAGTGATTCAAAACCATAGTGCAACCAGTGTGGTCCAATCGATTCATTAACACATGTCTCTAATGAACCAGTTCTTTTTAGAAATTCAAAAGAACACAGTGTGACTAGTGTAGTCCAACTGATTCTCGAATCTGAATTACTCAAATGAACCGGTGATTTTTAGTGACTCAAATTACAGCATAACCAGTGAATTCCAAACAATTACAAAAATAAAGACTCTTATGAATAGGGTTGGGTATCGTTTGAATTTGAACGATTCTGATTCCGATTCCTTGTTTCGATTCCGGTTCCTAACGATTCTCGATTTCGATTCTTTCAAGAGGCAGGGTCAAAAAAGTTTAGCTAACCTTGCTAACCAACGGTCTTTCTGAAGGAAATACTCCTTTCTGAAGGAAATACTCCTTTCTGAAGGAAATACTCCTTTTGTCACAAATTTTGCATTTTGCCGAGATTTCGTTATTTTTAGAAAAGTGAAGCCACACTTTGGATCGCCAACGTAAGGTACTCATGTTCGCTCTCGCGTGGTTATGCCAACACTTCCGGTAGACGCTTCTTTGTTGGTGTTGTTCAGCGGTTTCTTCTTCAGCCCGGCGGACTGTGAATATCGAAACTAGGAATCGAAATTTTAACTTTTGAACGATTCCGGGAAAAACGAAAAGTTAGTCTCGGTTCCAATCGATACCCGATTCTCGATTCCCAAACCTACTTATGAACTGGTTCTGACTAGTGTAGTCCAACTGATTCTCGAATCTGAATTACTCAGATGAACCGGTGATTTTTAGTGACTCAAATTACAGCATAACCAGTGAATTCCAAACAATTACAAAAATAAAGACTCTTATTAACTGGTTCTGTTCAGTGATTTAAAGCCATACAACCAGTGTAGTCCAACCTATTATCAAATGAATTAACTTTTTTTTTTTTTTGTTATCAAAAACCATACAGTGAGTCAAGTGTAATCAAACTGATTCCCAAACTAATGACATTAATTGACCTGTTTTTTTGTTTGTTTTTTCAGTGTTTCAAATCTGTACAGTGCAATTAACCAGTTATTATAAGCAATTCAAAACTATAAACCATGACCAGTGTTGTCCCAAACAAATGACTCTTGTGAACAGGTTCTTTTTAGTGATTTGTTCTCCAACTCATTTCTGAAATGACTCTTATTAAGTGGTTATATTTAGTGATTCAAAACAATCGGGTTTGACCGGTGTAGTCTTACTTGCTCCTGAACAATTTACTCTTATGAACCAGTTCGTTTTAGTAATTTAAATCAGACAATTTAATTAGTGTAATCCGAACGATTCCCCAAACAAATATCTCTTAGGAACTGGTTCTTTTTAGTGATTCACAGCCATATGGTGTGACTAGAGAAACATGTAAAAAAAAATCAAAAAAGTCCTCAAGGCTCACATGAATTTACCTGGACATGAAGTTGAAGGGCCTTGCATGTTGAATGTGATTGTGTTATATGCGTGTTTAGGCACTGCTGTTATTTCTCAATGCCGTTTTACCACCTTCTAGTCTCACTGTTAGGAGTGAAGATGACAAGAGCAGGCGGAGGAAAGCCCAGGAGACAAAGCTGGAGCCCTTTCCATGTGAAACTTGGTGAGAACAAATACTCACACAGTTATACATTGCCATACACATACAATCCCATATGCTTTGTTTTATCATGAGGGTTGGGCTCTTTTGACATCTAGACCAAGTCAATATGGTTTATTATGTTTGTTAGGGAAGTGAATGTACACAATGTCTCTCTCTCTCTGTCTCTCAGCCCAAAACCGACGATGGAGGAGATTAAACTGTGGGCACAGTCTTTCGATAAGCTGATGAAGAACCCAGCGGGGCGGAACAAGTTCCGTGAGTTCCTGCGGACGGAGTACAGCGAGGAGAACATGCTCTTCTGGCTGGCCTGCGAAGACCTGAAGAAGGAGATCAACAAGAGTGCCATCGAGGAGAAGACGCGTTTGATCTACGAAGACTACATCTCGATCCTCTCGCCCAAAGAGGTACACACACACACGTAAAAACACACAATGGGCCCTATTTTAACGATCTGAAATGCATATCAAGCGCGAAGCCCAAGTAACTTTATGGGCGGGTCTTGGGCGCTGTTGCTATTTTACCGGCGGGATAAATGACTCTTGCGCCCGGTGCCTTGTCAGGGCCGTGAAAGACAGAGAAGTGCCGTTGTGTGGTGATGGGAGAATCCCACCCAAATCCGTGTCGGTTAAACATTATATATATGTTTCTTGCCACTATTGGGCAAACAGGTCTGATCCGTCAGTACTACAATAAGCCTTAAAGTCCCTGTGAACCGGAAGTTGCAAACGATTTTTCTCCAGTGCTGTGACGTATTTCCAAGTGAAACGGAATATTGAACAGAGGGCAGGGTTTTACTCTCTCGCTCATAGCAAACTAACGGTTTGAGGGGAGTGGTTAAGCGTTTCCCCACCCAAGCTGTGAAACCTACATCATCAGAAAAAGAAACCATTCCAGACCGAAAGTAACTTTTCAGATTTTGATTAAAGATTACCAAGGTAAAACATTTTTTTTTTATATATATTTACTTGCACGGATTAATTGTTCACCACAAGACTAGTAATATGCGCTAACAAAGTAAATAGGTTCAATTTTGATTTCACAGGGACTTTAAAAAAATGGGTAATTAGGTTTTTTCATCATCATGTAAACCACAATGATTTCCCTCATGTGTTAATATTTTTCCTTATTATAATGTATGATTTGCAAAAATAAAAACAGCTGCATCTGTGTTGATGAGAGAATCAAAGTGTATTCGCGTTGTGCACCCGCTACATTATGGCCAAGCATGCATGGTTAAAATAGCATTATGAACAAGGTGCAACGCGCCACTGACTTTAAACCAGTTTTTTTTTTTCTGGTCAGTGGCGCAATTGTTTTCTGGAAGTGTAAAATAGCACCAGGGAATGTTTGCGCCAAAACACGCCTCCTTTTTGCGCCGATCCGCCATCCGCCATTTAAGTTCATTTCCTAGTTTACCGACGTGCGTCTTTGCAGGAAAAAAGCCCACTTTGCGCAGGTGCAAAATAGGAATGATACATGCGTTTACGTATAAAGTCATTTGCACCAGGTGCAAGATATAGCCTCTTATTTGTGTACTTTTGATAAACATGATGATTATTATGATTTGATAAACATGAACACTTTTGATCCACATACAATCAAAATCATAATCACGAAATCAGCCCCTGAAACATGTGTTTAACGCCGTTAAAGTGTGCTCATTTATTTATAATATATATATATATATATATATATATATATATATATATATACTGTATATACATATATCATTTGTGCATGTATATATATATATATATACTGTATATGTGTGTGTGTGTATGTGTATCCTTTCTCAGCCTCCGAAGACAATGTCCATTAAAAGTCCAGTTTGCAGTAACTGCAATGGAAAGATTGGTGGCTGTTCTTCATCACCTCTGTTTTGTCTCTTCTATGTGGAATGCAGATTTCAGCCTCTGCGCAGGTCTGTGATTGGCTGCGTTCTGAGAAGCAACTAGGGACTTTTCTTAAAGTAAACTTATTTGGAAGCTTGACTAGAACTTCACACCAATAAAAGTTGAAAAAGTAAACGTTTAAGAGATGTGTGTGTGACAATTCTGCCAGATGTATGATTGAAGCCAATGTTGTATACGGCTCATTTCCTGAGATACAGGCCTCTAGCACCATAGTGGCGGTCGATCCTGCTTTCTATTATGAGCTGTTTGTTTTGCCTCCTGTCGGTGTGAAACGGCAGGGTTTGCATGAATTGTACACACTTGTTGAGTACTCGGTGCGCACGTGTTAAATGTTACTTTTTGCCTTTTTCATCATCGGAGTCAGAACTCACACCTTCAAACTGCCACTTTCTAGAGGCAGCTGAGTAAGTAAATGAAGGAGCAAAGGTTGAGCAAAGGAAGCTATAAATTGATCCCTGCTGGATGCTCTACTGTAAAGCGGTTATATAAATAGGCCATAGAGTGCAAGAGTGAGTGAGTGAGTTCAGATGGATGAGCTTTGTTTTGCCCTGGCCTGAACTGCTAGTTCCAGTAGAGTGTACGAGCTCTTGAGTGTCTACTATGAAAATGAAAGGAATCATTAAATAGAGTCGTGGAAGAAAGTAAACTAGAGCGGTCGGTGTAGGAATAGATTAACGATTGTTGGACTAATGGAGATTTTTTTTTTTTTTTTAAGATTATCAAGACATTTTGAGGTACACTACTGTTCAAAAGTTTAGGTTCGATGAGACTTTTTAATGCATTTAAAAAAAAGTCTCGTATGATCGCCAAGGCTGATTTCATTCATTGATGAGAAATGTTAGTACAATTTAAAATAACTGTTTTCCATTTAAATATATTTTAACTCTAATGGCAAGCTATTTTCAGCATCATTAGTCCAGTCTTCAGTGTCACGTGATTTTTCAGAAATTATTCTAATATGATGATTTGATGCTTCTTATTATTGATGTTGAAAACAGTTGTGCTGCTTCATATTTTTGTGGAAACAGTGATGCGTTTGTTTCAGGATTCTTTGATGAATAGAAATTTCAAAAGAACAACATTTATTTAAAATAGAAATCGTTTGTAAAATTATAAATGTCTTTACTGTTACCTTTGATCAATTTAATTAGCATTAATTCAAAAAAGAAATCTTTGTGATCCCAAACTTTTGAATGGGTTATTTATTTATTTATTGTTTGTTTTTGTGACATTTTGACTGATGTTATCATTTCAGCGAGAACCCATTACACTACTTTTATGGGTTAACATTATTATTAATGCAACCTGTATCTCTATGAAATGATTTTACAAATACTTATGCAGTGATCATGAATGATAGGAAAAGTAGCGGTTGAGCGTTTGATGTCACTGTTCAGCTTTTTTTTTATTAAAATAAACATGTAAATGTTTCCTGTGACTGTACAAAGTGCATTAATAATTAATGAGGTAAACGTAGTTTAGTTTCTGATTGGTTTACTGTATTCTTGCATACAAAATTCAAAACAAACCTTCATAACTCCGGGTTAAAAAGCCCCTTTCAAAAGTCTCAAAAGACAGGCTTAAAAGGATTAACCCAAATCCTAAAATCTGACCTTCTTAATCGTGAGTTTTAGCATTTAGCAAAACATTGTATTTTAATATTCACAATGCTGTCTTTCTGTCTTGAAGGTGAGTCTGGACTCTCGCGTGAGGGAAGTGATCAACAGGAGGTTACAGGATCCCACCCCTCACATATTTGAGGATGCACAGCTGCAGATCTACACCCTCATGCACAGAGACTCCTACCCACGATTCCTCAACTCCTCTGTCTACAGATCACTGGTGCAGGGGGGGTCGCGCTCCTCGTCTGAGTCATAGACCCCCACCTCTTTCTCTCATTCTCTCCATCCCATCTCTCTCCGTCTTGCTCATTGCACAACCACTCGAGGAGAAAGTACTCCTTTTTTTCGTGTCATCACAGTCGGATTGTCATTTTTGTTTTTTGCTCAGTCCATGTTCCTCTCTCATTTTTGAGAGAATCCCACATTTCTTCTGAACCTGCACAAACTGAAACTGGAAGACACAGGGTTGAAAATGCAGTTTTCATTTTTCCAATCCTCTATTTCCTCCCCTCGTTCCAGCATCAACTACTGATTTTCATAGCAATCTTTTTTCTTTTTTTTTCAAGCAAACATGCTTCACTACTTGTATCTCCTGACGTCTCTAGTTGAAGAGAGCTGAGAGGGCCTCTGCAATAACATACACTGGAGTGGCATGACCGATCTGCTCCTCTCTCTTCACCCTGACCTGTCCACTGTCTCTGTGCTCTGATTGGCTCTTTGAGGCGAGGGGTCTAGAGGTGATTGGTGGCATCGTAAAAGAGAGGGACAGCACTTTTTCCAGGTGCTGAACAAATAGGTACAAAAATATCCACACACTATTTTTGAAAGCAATCAATTTCCAGGCCCAGACGGAATCTCCGTAACTTTCCGGATTTTCTGCTCTGACTTTGAGGGAAAATCTGCGGAATTAATTTAAATATGAATTTTTTTAAAGTGTACTAAACTCATACTGTTAGCTGAAAACATTATCAACTTAAATTATGTTTCAGATTTCTGTGTTTTACAGATTTCGTTTGGGCCTGTTTATTTCAAAGAACAGATAACAACAACTTAAAGGAGTAGTTCACTTTTAAAAAAAATAATTTGATAATTTGCTCACCACCATGTTATCCAAGATGTCCATGTCTTTCTTTCTTCAGTTGAAAAGAAATTAAGGTTTTTGTTGAAAACATTCCAAGATTTTCTCCATATAATGGACTTCATTGGGAACCAAACGGTTCAAGGTCCAAAAGAGAGTTTCAGTGCAGCTTCAAAGGGCTTTAAACGACACCAGACGATGAAAAAGGGTCTTATCTAGGACCCTTCGAGTCATGAATCGAAAAAAGATTTTGATGAACGAGTTTGAACAGGAGAGTCACGAACGGAGAATCACAGAACAGAGCAAGGCGAGCATTTGTGCTTATAAAACGTAAACTTTTAATTTATTTTTTTTAAATAAGCGATCGTTTCGCTAGATAAGACCCTTATTCATCGTCTGGTGTCGTTTAAAGCCCATTTTATGGAGAAAATAATGGAACGTTTTCATCAAAAACCTTAATTTCTTTTCAACTGAAGAAAGAAAGACATGGACATCTTGGATGACATGGGGGTGAGTAAATTATCAGCAAAAGTTTTTTTTAAAAGTGAACTACTCCTTTAACAACATAGGAGAGAGAGGAGGAACACCATTTTAAGAGATATTAAATAAAACAAACATGACAGAGATGAGAGAATGCCATTGTCTTAATTAGACTGGTCACTCACGTATTAAAAAGAGTTTTTTAATGTTATTTATTTTGTTAAACTGTGACCTGATTTGGTTTTCTTGATGAAAGAAAAATGAAAGAAAACCTGGAACATATACGCCATACCGAGCAAACTGTTAGTGGTAAGTGCTCAATCAATCGCGCTGTTTCTCTGTGTTCAAGCGAGTGGTTGAGTGTGTGAAAATCACTGTCTCTCTGGCGCCTCCTGAAAAGCAGTTCAGGTACTGCAGTTCGCTTCAGTTCTGCGGAGCTGTTTCTCAATGTTTCTGCCTTTTCTTCAGTCGGAAAGGCAAAAGCAGATGCTCTTAGTCAACATAAAATCGAAAATAACTTTATTTAACTACTTTAATTAGTCAGTGCACAGTATTCCACAGCAAATAGTTTGTCTTGGTAAATGTAAAAAGTTGTTCTGCCTCTAAAACAACTTTCTAAAATGATGGCAAAATTAAATGCAGTTTTTTAATCCCCAATTTATGTCGTTGTAATGAAAGCTCATAAATAATATAATAAGTTGTTAAAATAATAGCGAATAACGCATTTGTTTGTCGCCCACTTTGTCTGTTTTTCACACAATGTACATTTTAAGGAGAATCTTTCTTATGTGTCAGAACAAGAAAAAGTATTTTATAGTATTGTACAGAAACCTTTTAAAAAAAGAAGCCATTCGCTGCTGTAAAATCCATTTTAAAATGTTCTCGATTCCTCATTGATTTCACTGGTCCAGTACACTTCATTTATTCACGTTTAATGCTCAGTGTTGCATCTGCAATTGTACTTAAACTCATTTCTTTTACAGATGCCTTCAACAGCCTCTGAAGCCACTTGATATTAAAGGATAGTTCACCCAAAAATGAAATTTCGTTCATCACTTAGGCTACTCACCCTCATGCCGTTCCAAACCCATAGCACTTTCGTTCATCATCTGTTTAATGAAATCTGAGAGAGATTTCTGTCCCTCCATTGACGGCTGCACAACTACCACTTTGACGCTTTAAAAAGTTCATAAAGAGATGGGAAAACTAAAATAATACGAATTGAGGGGTTTAGACCACATTTTCTTAAGATACAATATTTATTTCTTAATATGTTAAACAGATTTAAATGAATTTAGACTTTTGTTCACATTTAAACTGATCAGTGAACATGAACAGAAGCTCAACCGAACGTGCTTGATGCAATGAAGCTTCTTAACACACGAGAATGAACCTCACTTCTCTCAACATCATAGCGAACATTCTCGAGCTTCCGTTTATGATAACTGATGTGTGAGTTGATGAATGTTTATATGTGAATAAAAGCCAAAATTAAATCTGTTCAGTGTATGAAGTAATGGCATCTCATCAAAATATTTGGACCACACTTCTCAATGCATATCGATTAGTTTTACAACGTGTCAGTTGCGTAGCTGTCAATAGAGAGACAGAAAGCTCTCGGATTCTTCATTTGTGTCCCGAAGATGAACGAGACTCTTAAGGGTTTGGAACGACATGAGGCTGAGTAAGGACAGACTTTAATTTTTGGGTGAACTAACCCTTTAAGAAAATAGCTATCGGAGAGTAACCGATTTGATGGATGTTAACACTGTGAGCTGTGATACCACTCCAAACGTATGCATCATTAAATATTTCATAATGTGAATATGAAACCAACCAGTACTGTGCGAGTGGGTCCACAATAATAGAGTTTTGTTATAGAGTTGGTCTTTTTATATCAGCACTGATCTGAAAATTTCCCCTGTTCTTTTGGTTTGAGCAAATAAGTCTTAATATGAGATCTTTCATTTCACATTGAAATGAGGTAATTCATCCACATCCGCCTGGTACTTTCAGGATTCAGATCTTTGTAAATATATACTTACAGAAAATAAATGTATATTGAATTAAGGACTCTAGTGGTGATATTTCAAGAGTCATGTGTAAATTTAGAGGAACGTATTGTACTGTAGTACCAAAAAAAAAAAAAAAAAAAGACTGATGCCTTTTATTTCTTCCATCAGTTGTGCATGAAGATGTACATTTTGGAATATGTGTGTAAAATATGTGTGTATATGGTTATAAATGAACATATATATATTATTATTATTGCTCTTATTGTCCGACATGATGTGACCAGTCTAACTTAAGCCAGAGAGAGTGAGTGTGTGTGTGTGTGTGTATGTGGTAAAAGTTAACTTAAGACAATAGGAGAAGAGATGTCAATGTCATTGCGGCCTTTGACAGCGAACACTCAATAACACAGGGATATTCAGTTACACAAAGCTCTTTAAAGACACGCTCAATGAGGGAAGCTTACTGGTGGACCTCTTAAAATTTCACATCACTTGCACTTTGCGTTCACACTGAAAGCGGTTTAGAGGTCACTTTGCTGTACTGTATCTAGCTGATCAAATGAGCACCACTGTTCGCTCCTGGTTGTCACTGTTCATTTTTGCATAATGTTAAACTGTCACTCACGTCAACTCAAATTGCCAAGTCACGTTGAAAGTTAATTCAGATTGCTTTGCAAATCGCTTTCAGTGTGAACACTTTGTAACCAATGCGATGCAACAGATTTAAACGTTACCATGGCTGATATTAAAATTCCATACTATATCAAAATAAAAAATATAATATAGTATAAAATTTATTTATGGATATTTGATCATTGGTGCCAAAGATAACATTTAATCAGTGATATTATTAGTATTTTTAAAGGTGAATCTACACTCAAAAAAGGGCATACTTTTAATATTTTGTAATTGAATTGCATTTAAAATTTTCATCCATTTGGATTAGACATTTTCTAAATAAAAAACTAAATAAAAAATAATGACTGTGATGCATATTTGTCAGTTATACATACAGTAAATGTAACAGGAATGGTTTCTGCACTCGAAAATAATTTCATAATTTATTTGAGCTGTTTGCATCCATTTCATTTAATTTAAATAATCTTTTTCAAAATGCATTTATTTAGATTGCTTGTAATCTGTATACGTTTGTTTATTGTGAAACCAATTACATTTATTCCATTAAAACTATGAACATTGTTATGGATAGCTGTGGAACAAGCAATATTAAATTAGTTCAAATGCATCAGATTGAAACAAACTGGATTTATTGACTATAAATGTGTAAACCTGGTCATTGTGTTTTTAAATCACATTCACTTTTATTACTATTACAGATGTATTACCTGTTTAATTTATGACTGAGAAATATGCATCACATCTAACAAGTTTGATAGTTTATGTTAAAACTGTGTTGACCGAATGGATGTACATTTTACGTGCAATTAATGCAAATTCAGGCCTAAATATTTTTTTGTCTGTACATGTAAAAATAGGAGAAGCGAACATCACAATATAAATATAAATTCTCTAATATCTGCCCATGACCAATATGGTTCCCATATTCCATGCGCAAAATGAATGCATCTCAACATGGAGTGTTTGAATCTGTTGTATCGCTCACTAGCAATTGTCCTCGTGTTCTTTTGAACAGACAGACTTTCACATACTTGTATTTGATTGGAGACAGAGACTGTGACCTAGAGCTGCTTATGTTTACATAAATTTCTTTAAGGTGCCAAAATTAACCTAGCCTTCTAACAGTCTCAAACTAGGACATTTGTGTGGAGGAGTGAGTCTGTCAATAACCGATGCGTTTGTTTCCATCATCTGCATTACGTCCTCAAGTGGTCACTTTGTTACAATATGTTTTGGTTTTGTTGTCACCTCACACGCTAGTCTTGGCATCTCATTGGGCCTTCCCTCACACTTTCTTACGTTCTCTCCGGTCACTCTGTGAGGTTTTCTCTTTGGCGTGTATTCTCACGAGATTTGCAGTGCCATGACATAAAGCAGTGGGGTCGGTCCCTGACTCATGGACTTCAATGGACACTTATTTATTGACATTATCATTATATTTTGTATTAAAATAAATCAAGTTTTAAAGAGTATGTTTATGGATTTCTGGACCAATTAGTTTGTTTCCCAAAGTCTGTGACCATTACTGTGTAACCTCCCCTCGCCCTTGGGAGGCGTAGTAGGACGCCCTCTTCAGG